GCGTCAGTTGTCAACCTGACACACCTGGGAAGAGGAGCCTCCCCTGGGGAATTCCTCCCACCAGGTTAGCATGTGGGCAAGACTATGGGATCATTTTCTTGGTTAATGATTGATGGGGCAGGACCCATCTCACTGTGGGTGGGTCCATCCCTGGGCTGTGCTCCTGGGTTCCATAAGAAAGCAGGCTGAGCAAGCTACGAGGAGCAAGCCAGTAAGCAGCACCCATCCATGGCCTCTACTGTGACGCAATGTTTGGGTTTCTTTGTCACAGTTAGTGGATATTTACTTGATTTTTAAAACTATTACCTGGTTAAATTGTGCCTTTAATGTTTTGTAGGGTGGTTTGTTCAGTGTTAATGAAATTTATATATGAAATACAATATGGAAATTGTATTTTCACATAACTTTATAGATAATTTTACATATCATAATTAACATTTTTATTTACACATTGATTGTCTTCCTGTGTCCCCACAGCCTGTCTCTTATTTAAGATTCAACTACTTGCTTTATCTTAATGCCATTTTTTACTTTAAACTATAACTACATATTTTTACCTACATTCCAATCCATGGACTTAGTCTCTCTCTCTCTCTCTGTGTCTCTCTCTGTCTCTGTCTCTGTCTCTGTCTCTCTCTCTCTCTCTCTCTCTCTCTGTTTCTTCTTAAGATATAATCTCACTATGTAGCTGAGGCTGGTCTTGATCTCACCGACCTTTCTACCTCTACTCCTGAGTGCAAAAGAAGAAGTGTTGCCTCCATGCCCAGCTCCCATTCTCTTTAGCCTCCTGTGTTAGTTACTTTTGTTGCTGTACTCAAATACTGGACAAAAGAAACTGAAGGATGGAAGGGTTTGTTTTGGCTCACAATTCAAGAGCACAGTTCTTAAGAGCAGGGAAGGCATGGCAGCAGGAGTGTGAGGCATGGTCACACTGCACCCCCAGTCAGGGAGCAGAGAGATGGACGCTGGGGCTCATGGAGCATGGCCGCACTGCACCCCCAGTCAGGGAGCGGAGAGATGGACGCTGGGGCTCATGAGGCATGGTCGCACTGAACCCACAGTCAGGGAGCGGAGATGGACGCTGGGACTCATGGAGCATGGCCGCACTGAACCCCCAGTCAGGGAGCGGAGATGGACGCTGGGGCTCATGAGGCATGGCCGCACTGAACCCACAGTCAGGGAGCGGAGATGGACGCTGGGGCTCATGGAGCATGGTCACACTGCACCCACAGTCAGGGAGCGGAGATGGACGCTGGGGCTCATGAGGCATGGCCGCACTGCACCCCCAGTCAGGGAGCGGAGATGGACGCTGGGACTCATGGAGCATGGCCGCACTGCACCCCCAGTCAGGGAGCGGAGATGGATGCTGGCGCTCAGCCCACTTTCTCTTTTTATTTAGTTCAGTAACCCGGCCCATAGAATGGTGCTGTCCACATTCAGGGTAGTTCCTCCCACCTCAGCTAAACCTTTCTGGAAACACCCTCAAAAGCACACTCAGAAGTGTGTTTCCATGCTGATTCAAGTTGACAACAGAGATTAATTAATTCATCCCAATCAATATCATTTTCTACTTTGTCAGAGGACATGGCCGCTCTGTGCTGTTTTCTGCTCGTATTCCCACTGCTTTGCATTGTTGCTGCCTTGAATACACAGGGCATCTGTGCATCATATATGCACACAGACATACGTGTGTGTGTATACATATATATGACATCTGTGCATTTGACATATCTAGGACATCAGTACTCTTGGAAGCCAAATGTACTTTGACAGTTACATACTGACCATCTTGAAAAGCTAGGTATATTTGCCAGTGTTTTTGAATGCATGAAAATCTGTGCAAATAAACCCACCCTGCACTCCCAAGGTTCCACACTCTGCCTCCCTTCTCCACCAGGAACTGTCACCTCACCACCCTTCCCTCTGTGTCCTCTCCCAAATCCTCCTGCTGCTTCCCTGAGTTCCTGCCTTGATGCTCCTCCCTCTCAAGCGCTCCCATTCTCCCTTCAGCTGTGTATAATCCACCCACGCACCCATGTGCTCGGCGTTCGCAACACGTCTCTGATGCTCATTCAAGACGGCAAGATTTCTTACTGTGTCTTTTATTCAGCTAAACGCATTGGTGATAATTATTTTAATTATTTTGAAGCTTGTGTCTGTTATAGCCTGAGGCTGCTGCTTCAGATTTACTTCTTTTGTCTGTTGTTTCCCTCCAATTTGTTTTCCTAGTCTCTCTGACTCTGTCTCTGTTTCTCTCTGTGTGTCTTTCTCTGTGTGTATATATATGTGTATAATATGTACATGTGTCGCCGGGCGGTGGTGGCCCACATCTTTAATCCCAGCACTCGGGAGGCAGAGGCAGACGGATCTCTGTGAGTTCGAGGCTGAGCTGGACCAACAGCCTCCAAAACAATACAGAGAAACCCTGTCTAGTAAAAACAAAAAAAAAAATATGTACACGTGTCTGTCTATCTGTCTGTCTCCCCCATATACACACATTGCTCTATTTGCTAAGCAGGAACTCTAGTCCTGATCAAGTGTCCAGCTTGATCATTTCTACTCTTATTTCCTTGTAAGCCTGGGGTTTTCTTGTTTCTTAATTACCAGTTGAGATGTGCCAGAAACTGGAAAGAGAACCAAGGTGTTAGATTCTCCAGGGACTTCCTCTGTGGTGGACTCTGTGTGCCCTCCTGGTCCTGGAATCTAAGCTCTGCTCAGCTCTTACCTGTTTCTTCTGGAGTGGACACAGGACCCTGGAGACTGCCCAGACTGCGCTCCCCTCTTTCCTGTACCTTAGCCTGTAACAGACCTTCTGCCACCTTAACCACTTCCTGTCTTCTCTCAGGCTTTTCTTTTGTCTGGGTTTTCTATTTTCTTCTTGGCTAAAGTGTTGGTGGGAATTACCTCCTCTGTCATCTCCAGAAGTGAAACTTTTGAGTAATTCCATACTATTTAGCATTTCCCGCTTTTTATTTCCAGCATTGTGTATCTATTTATCTTATGATTATGCCGAGTTAAGATACTGACAAGTAACAGACAGACGTGAAGTTGGCACCAGGGGACGTTCAGCCGTCGTCTGTAGCCACTGTGCCCTGCGTTCTATCAAAGAATCAAAGCTGGGGCCACCGGGAGCCTTTTGCTCTCTCTAATCCTGGACTGCCCGTCAGGGCCGGGAGCCTTTTGCTCTCTTTAATCCTGGACTGCCCGTCAGGGCCGCGAAGGCAGTATGCCCAGGAGGTGACCAACACCCATGAATATGTGGTGCTGCTCGGTCAGCCCCAAGTTGGCTCCCATGCCCCGAACCTGGCTGTCTCCAGGAAGTCAGCCCAGTCTGCACACTGGGAGAGGCACAGTGGACACTGGAGTCACCTGGATTGTTTTTTCTTTAACAAGCACTTTGGGTGTGTGTCTTCTTCATATTTCTGGAGCCTTTACCTCCTCTTTATTTGATTTCTTTTCTTTTTTTTTTTTTTTCCTCTTTAGCTTTTGGATCACTTGGAAAGCCCATATAAGTTTACAACATGAATAGCATATAACACGGTGATATTTTGTGACTCCAAGCCAAGTTAAACATATGGCCATTTGAACGTTATTTTGTTGAAAACCTTTTTGGAAATGTCTTTTATTCACTTCTGGGCAGATCTAATTATAGATGGATTTTTTTTAACTTGCATGTTGAGCACATGATTTTGGTAGGTCTGAACAAACCAGAGCGGCCAAACCTCCCCTGAGGGAACAGGCAAGTCCATGGGTTATAGAATTTTTTTTAATATTAACTATCACTCAATTAATATCAGCCCTTCCCTCGGGCTCCCACACCCCACTTACAGCATGCTTCCATTACAGTAGAACTTCACCTGAGTAGTTGACTTTCAGAATTCACTCAGCAGCCCCGGCATTCATACCTCACCATTCACAGGCTTCAAAGGAGACTGCCTACAGCATGCCCTGCACTCCGACTCTGTCCCAGGAACGATCCTCAGTGACCTCCGCCTCCAGTCATGCAGTGGCCCATATTGGGAGCACGCTATGTGTACTATGCAGGCCTGAGTTCTCTGGGGACTATGTAGTTGGTGCAGTGCATGGTTGCCGAGTTCTTGCTGGAGGCTCAGGGCCCTGTGGTGCTTTGCAGTTTGCAGGAATCAGTTGGGGAGGCAGTGAGCCCAGGGAGATAGATGGCTCCTACTGAGCCACCTTCCTGGCCCAAAGTTTCTTATAAAATAGTACATATGATCATTTTAGGCAGACTCATTGGCTTCTATTTCAATGATTCAATAAAAAGATTCTTGATCTTTATGTGGTAAATACTTGTAAACTTATTAAATTCATACATGCTTTCCCCACAGCACAGGTTTCACAATAGCCTCAAAATTTTATGTAAAGTTCTTACCCCTAATGTGATAAATTATAAGTTGATCTGTGTACATTTGCATCTTTTATTAACCATTTTAGTGTACAAAATAACAGGTTTCATTTAATCATAAATATGCATATACCATATATATAATTATAACCTTATTTTTATGACCTATACATTGTGTAGGTATGAGTGTGTCTGTGTGTACATGTGTTTGCATTTACAAACACATAATATGTGTGTGTGATTGTGTGCATACTTGTGTGTGTAAATGTGTTTGTGCATGCATGTATACATCTTCATGTGTGTGCTTGTGTGTGTGTTAAATATAAATGAGCTAGTATCTTAGGTTTTCTCCTACTGTGAAGAGACACCATGACCATGGTAACTCTTACAAAGAAAAAAATTAATTGGGCTGGCTTACAGTTTCAGAGGTTCAGTCCATTATCATCATGGCAGGGAGCATGGTGGAATGGCTGAGATTCCTACATCTTGTAGGCAACAGGAAGTTGACTGACTGTCATATTGAGGGAAGCTTGAGCAAAAGAGACCTCAAAGCCCACCCCCACAGTGATATGCTTCCTCCAGCAAGGCTATACCTCCTAATAGTGTCGCTCCTTTTCAGGTTTTTTTTTTTTTGCAGTTTGAAAGGCTCTATATTTTTTATTACTGGACAAATCATTCCCAACTTAAATATGACCAAATCTCCAGGTCAAAAATGTTAAGTGTCATCTGGTAGCTTTGCTTGCGTTGACCATGATTCAGTGCAAACTCAATTCTTGCCATTGATTGTGTGAATTCTTACAGGCCCAGCTTGGTTCTTCTCCAGTGTCTTCTCTTGGAGTTGTACCTGATTTTGTTACTGGTTTTCATCTGAATCCACTGAGGAATAGGACGATTTTGCTTTTGTTTCTTGGTCAAGAATCGCTTGATTCTGAAAGTCTTGGGAGAAGACATGGTGAGAAGTCGACTCAGGCGTACAATGCACGATGGCGAAGGGAAGGCCCTTTTCAGGGTTTTTATTCCTGTTAACAAATATTAAAAGATTAAAAAAACCCTTATAAGCATAAATGACTGCAAAATATATAAGCATCCTGGGTTCAGTTCCCAGCACCCATGTGAGGGTCTACTCATAGGAACAAGAACTCTAGCATAGCTGCACCACAAAAAAAAATAGTCCACCTGAACATGGAGCGGCAACCCTGGAACTCTCTGCATAGTTTGCAGGCAACTGGACCAACATTCCTAGAATCACTGCTCTGCAGATTAGCTGGCCAGTCCCCCCCTACAGCAGTTATTGACTTCTTTTCCCAGACAGGTGGACTTTTATTTATTTCCGAAGTCTCTTGAGCCTTCTACTTTGTCCTGGCACAAATGTTTTAACTCTGAGGAAAATGTAGTATGACAAAGGGTAGGCAGGGGGAAAGGCTATCCCTGCTATGGTCCAGAAGTAGATACTACTGCAGATGGATGGAGAGAGGGATACTTGGGATTTGCCCATGTGATTTTATTGGTCTTTTCAGTTGGTCACCCTGTGTGGGCAGCTGAGGAAGCCCAGAGTGAATATTTAAAGAGGAAATGAAGTCCTAAGTGAATGTGCAATGTTTGACACGGGCATAACATGTCAAGGACCAATGGAAGTGGCAAGGCCTTCCCTGGGTCAGGCTCAAAGGGATGACAAAGCCTTCCTCTGGCCTGAGAACAAATGCCGATGGTATGTGCAAGTATGAATGTTTATGAATGACTGAACAGTGTGTGCAAGAACTAGTAACAAAGCTTCCTCCTCCCAGGAGTTCACTGCCTGAGCGGGCGCCTGCAGACACCTCCTACCCAACCAGCTAATCCTCCCCCATCTGCTGGACTCTGAATTCATGAACTCAGCAGGGCTCCGGGTTGTCCCACAGTTTGCACCACTCCACCAGGGTGGGCCATGGACCATCCAATCCCAGCTTTTCTGTGTGTCTGCCCTTTCTTCACTCTCTCACTACTTCAGTCAGGTTTCCAGGACCAATCCATACCGGACATGGCAGTTGTCATTGTGACTTTGTGTGAGAGGTTCCCTTTTAGCCGGACAGCCCCAAGGCTGCAGTGTGACTGTCATCACCAAGGGCTTTGTTCAAATGGCTTCTCCTTAGTTGGCTGAGGTTTCCATGCCTAAAGGGCCAATGCACTTTACTTGTAGTATCTGTAGGCAAAGGTCTTATACCCAACTCCTTTCAAAGGCCGTTCACATTTATCCTACTGGTGTTTTGTGTGGATGTTGTAAGATATTACCTTTGATTTTGAGTGTCACAGTAGTTGGACTAAGAGATGCCTGGAGGGTGGGGTTAGTAGAGTACATCCCTGGGAGAACCAGTGAGGTCATCCATCCCCAACTCAACAAGATCCTGAGAACTCTCACTAATCTGCGGGTTAACCCCTTGATGGAATCACAATGCTGGCATTATTGAGAAGTGGTGATGAGTAGAGGTGGGGTCTAACTGGAAGAGATGAGTCACAGGGGATGGGTCCTTATGAGAGAAATAAGTTAATACCAAGTTCAAGAGGCTAGTGGACATGAAGCGTTTTTAATGCACTACTCTGCAGAAAGGGGACCAGCACAGAGATGAGGCAAAGGAGAGTGGCATACTGATGTGGTGAAAGACAGTGGTTTTCAAATTTTCAACTACAAGAAAACCATGTCCACCTTTTCTCACGGGCCAGGATTTAGAGAATCACAATCTAGCATAGCCACCTTGTCAAACACCCCTCCTATTGGTTTAAGCTACAAAACCCACTGAATTCATGAGTAAGTTGGGGCTTGAGGTTGCCCCATTTTCTGATCATGGGCCAGTCACATAGCAGACTGTCCAATGAACTCTTAAGGGACCCTCATACTGAAAATGAACCATACCAGTTTCTTTCTTACACTTGGGACTTAGCGTTCACGACTTCTTGCTGTGTTGTCCTCTGCTTTCTGGCTGCTGTGAGGTGAGCAGCATTCTCCATGACACATTCTCACCACCGATCACACCGCTGGTCACACTGCCGTTCACACTGCCGTGGGTGCTCTGCCCGAGCTCATGGGGTCCTGTGACCATAGATGGAACCCTCTGGCACTGTGAGCGGCACACTCTCCTGCCTTGCTTCGGTCAGGCCGTTCTGCCACAGACAAGGGACAATAACTAACTTCATGCGTTTCTAGGTGGAAGTTGGGATCACTGGTTTTAGCTATCTCCTGTTTGTTTAAATTCCCCCTCTAGCATTCCCTGTCATGAGGATTTCATCGATAAGGCAGCTAAGTGCATTTTGTAGTTTCCTGTGTGATTTCTTCTTTGATCCAAAAGTTATTTAGATCTATTTCAAGTCAATTTTAAAATATTTGGGGAAAAATAGAGGTATCTATCTTTCTATTATTTGTTTGTGGCTGACTTTTGTTTTAGACAGAAAACATGTTCTCTAGAATTTCAGTGCCTTTAAATGTATTGAAACTTGACAGCATACATTTTAGTTAGCGACTGTCTCTACACACTTAAGCATGGTGTAAATAATAGTCATGCCAAGTGGGCTGACAGTTGCCCAGGTCCTTACTGCCATCAACAATTTTCCTGTTACTGACAGAATGGTGCTGAAATGACCAACAGTGAATTTCTTCCTTTTTAACTTAGTTTATCTGCTTTGCTTTAAGTATCCTAAAGTACTATTATTAAAGGCCTGTGCATTTGGTCAATAGTGGCTCTGGTCTCTCACTTGACTAGTGTTTCTTTGTCTGTGATTGCTGGGAAAACATCCCATTTAGGTGGTGGAAAACACTGCAGATGGGATGTGCTCAGAGTAGGAGAAAGATTGCATAGAAGTGTTAGTAATCAGGCATTTGTACTGGCCTATCCTTGGGGTTCTGACAGGACACGCCCTCAGCTGCAGTTACTAAGAACACCACCTGTGAACATTCACTATGTTTCCCTTTAAAAGGGCCCTGTCTACCTCCCATCTCTCTCTCTCTCTCTCTCTCTCTCTCTCTCTCTCTCTCTCTCTCTCTCTCTCGTTCTCTCCCTCTCTCTCTACCCCTCTTTCCTCTCTCCTGCTGCTCCTGTCCCTGGAGGCTGGTCAGGCTGCTCTCCCCTTTTTATGATCCTTCTCCTCCAATAAAAAAACCCCTCTGCTTGAACCCTGTCGTATGGCGTTTCTCTCCAATCTGCTTTTCTTATATCACAACAGACAGTACTTTGGGTGAGAGGGAAAAATGGGGTGTGTGTCAAGCTCTGCCCTCACTTACAATCACATTCATTGTCTCCTTTGTGTCCCCGTGCCCTGGGGCAGAGGACAGGGCTGTAAGGGCAATTCAGCCCTTGTGTAGCCTGTATTCTAGGAGGAGAGAGCCATCCCCAGCCACATGTCATGCTCTATCTAAACAGTGACACTTCCAGGTAGTGCACACACAACTCTGTTCGTGCCATGCTTGTGTGAATCATTCCTGTAGGGCAGTGATTGTCAACTGTGGTTTGGGACCCCTGTAGGGAGTCACATTATCACATATCCTGCATATCAGATGTTTACATTACAATTCACCACAGCAACAAAATTACAGTCATGAAGTAGCAACAGAATAATTTTGTGGTTGAGGGGGTCAGCACAGCATGAGGAACTGTGTTAAGGGGTTGCAGCATTAGGAATGTTGAGGGCCACTGCTGTAGGGCTATGTGCACTGCTGAAGTTCCGTTTTAGGGAGAACTTCATGACTTTCAGCCCGTGACCACGCCCAGTCCACATGTGAGACCTCAGGAGGCTGCATGCTTTACACAGTTGGCTGACATGTCACAGCTGGGGATGGCAAGAATCAGGGTCCCACCCAGCTCTGAGGACCCCCAATGCCCAGGCCTGTGGTGCCTCATTTCTGAAAGATCTCCTGCTCACCTTCTCTCTCCTGCCCTCACGTCTCTTCTGCTTTCACTGAAGGCAGACACACAGGTTTGAAGCCACTGGAGGAGGCTTCGGGGCGGGGGGGGGAGGGGATGGAGGATTCAGGTCCCTACCGTGGGAGGAGTTGGAGCCTGCTGACCACGAGGACTGTTACAGTGTGGATGTGAAATGCTCCCCACAGGCCCACGTATTCGAACATTTGGTATCCAGCCAGTGGCGCTGTTTCAGGAGGTTATTGAAGTGTTGGGAGACAGGGAGGGCCTGGCTAGCAGATGTGGGTCATGTGGGGTGGATCCTTCGTAGTTGAGGTAATAACACAATCCCTCTCTCTCCTGGCCTAACTCTGCTTCTTGTGCCATCAGGATGTGAGAGGACCTTGCTACAAACCCCTGCCACCCTGCATGCCACCAAATCTTCCCTGCCATGGAGGACGAGGGCTATGAGCCAAAATACATGCTCTTGAGTTTCTTCTGTCATAACAAAGGGGAGAGTAACATAAGCGGCCTGGGACTGCGCTGTGGAGCAATATGGCCAGGGACCAGTGGGCCTGGCCTCCTCACACCTAACCCTGGCTGGCCTGGGGCATTTTGGTTAGGAGAACAGCTTGCTCAGCCAATTCCAAGAGTCAGGTTGGAAGACTTGGTGTTTTTTTTTTCTTTTTTCTTTCTTCCCCTCCATCCCCAAGTTCAGGGTGTTTCTGGAACACTGAAGACTGCAGATAAGAAGTTGAGCTCCTCCCTAGGAGGAGGGGTGGAGATTTCTGGGCTTGGTGAAATCCCAGCAGTGGGGAGATGCTGCACCCGAGCACAGCCCTCTGTGAGGAGCAGGAGTGTAAGTTGCTTTGACCTTCAACCTTTAGGCAAAGGGTGATCACATCCCAGGTTGGATAGAACCCGGAATCATTTCTGGGCAAAACCTCACTCCCAGTCCTAAACAGCGCTATGTGGGTCGCCTCTCCCCTCTGCCTGGGCCTTGCCTTCTTTCTTCTCAGCAGCGTCTTAAGAAAGCAAGCTTCAAGTGTTCGGCAGATGTAAGTTTTCAATGAGCTGACCTAGGTCCAAGTTTGCCAGAAACGCCAGAAACACTGTGGTAAAACTCA